GCTTAGGTAGGGGGTGGAGTCCTGGGGGGCAGTTAGGGGCAGGGGTCCCAGGAGGGGGCAGTCAGGGGACAAGGAGCAGGGGGAGGGTTGGGTTTCTGAGGGGGGCGGGGAGTGGAAGGGGCGGGGCTAGGGCAGGACGGGGGCGGGGCTAGGGCAGAACAGGGGCGGGGCTCCTCCCGTCCTCTTTTTTCCTTGCTGAAATATGGTAACCCTAACTCAATAGGATTACTTACAGGAATAAAAAATTTGCCATACTGGATTAAATCAGTGGTCTTTCTAGTCCAGTTTGTTGTCTGTCTCTGTGTCAGGGACAGGGTGAGGGTCAACTGGCCTAGGGGTTAGCATCAGGCCTGCGCTGAGGATCTAGGAGCCAATTACCAAGAATCAGGCCAAGCTGGAAAGCCAGGAAATCAGAATCAAGAGACTAAACAGAGGACAGGGATCAAGAGTCTGTTACCAACAGTCAGGAAACTGGAAGGTCAGAATCAGAAGGCAGGAACACGTAATCACAAAACCAGGAGTCCATGACAGTGTGAAGTCCGGTTGTATGGACAACTTCGGCATGTCTACACTTACCTCCGGAGCGATCAATCCAGCGGGGGTCAATTTATCGCATCTAGTGAAGACGCAATAAATCGACCACCGAGCGACTCCGGTACTCCATCGGAGCAAGAAGCATAGGCGGAGTTGATGGGGGAGCATCAGCAGACGACCTACCGCAGTGAAGACACCGCGGTAAGTAGATCTAAGTATGTCAACTTCAGCTACATTATTCATGTTATTCACGTAGCTGAAGTTGCGTAACTTAGATTGATTCCTCCCCCAGTGTAGACCAGGCCCCAGTTTCCTCCTCTAACTTAAATAGGAGCAGCAGCCCAATCAGGAGCCTTGGAGCTCTCCCAGTCAAAACATAGGGGTGGGGCTTGTGCCTCAATTTGGGTTTTTGGGTCTGTACCAGCTGTTGTCTACAAGCTGCAGGGTGGAAGATTGGAGCATGACAACTCCCATGACCCTCCACGGACCTCAAACTGCTACCAGCTGCCTCAAATGAAAAAGAAAGAAAATCTGTAGTGGAGAATCATGGAATTAACTGCCAATAAGAGAAATTTCTTCCTAAACTTGTCAGTTTGTTTACACCCTAAAGTATAAGGATTTATAGCCCATCTATTCTCCCGCCAGTATAACTGTTGATATTCTCATGCATATAAATTTCTAGTAGGAATCAGAAAAGGGTTAAACTCTTGGAATTAATCCTTTTTGCTGCAATCTAGGTTGCTATTACAAATTGTACAAATTGTATTAGATTTTTCAGCTGATCAGCATTAGGATCAGCTTAACTTTTAAGTGTTATGTAGCAGCCAGAAATATCTTGAATATCCATCTACTTTCTACGCTGAAAATCCATGCTGATGCCATAAGACAGCAGGAAGTGGACTGACACTTAAAGTTGTTTAGATGAGGAACTTATCAGCCTAATAAACAAACAAACAACCCATATCATCCCCTTACAATGTCACCACTTATTAATTTTACTGAATTTTATATATATGCCTGTAAGCCACAAGCTATTGTCCTTTGATCTTTATTAAAAATTGGGGTTGTTTTGTTTTGATTGTTTATATGGGAAACACTAGCTGTATTTATTTTGTTTAATTTCATATTTAGTTATGTATGATTATATACATTAATACTTGCCTCTGTTTGCTATTCCACAAATAGTAGTAATAAAAATTTAGACCTGTTTGGTCTACAGTTGTTAAATTGTTGACAGTATTCAGAACTGTTTCTCTACTCTTCTAGGTATGCTAAAGGTTATCCTCCTTACTCTCCTTATATTGGAAGTTCTCCCACATTTTGCCATCTGCTGCATGAAAAAGTGCCATTTTGTTGTTTAAGACTGGACAAGGTAAAAAGTTTATATTAATGGATAGACCCATGTGTTAAACAAGGCTCGTTTGTTTGTTGTGGCCAAACACAATTTTGTCCTTGTCTGCACTTGCAGATAAGCAGCATTCAGCACCCGTTCAGCTACAACCAATGCTGACACACAGTGTTGCTAACAGATGTTTGTAAAGCTCAGACAAGACTGAGTTCTTTATCATTTCAGCTGACACATTTTAGCTTGGGAAGTAAAAAATCACCTCTAATATTGTTATCCCTGAATATCGACTCCTATCCAAAGCCACTGAGTTTTTGTTTTCTATACTGGTTTTAGGGGTGCCAGCATAACTACTATGAAGATGCCAAAGCCTATGGATTCAAAAATAAATTGATTATAGTTGCAGCAGAGACAGCTGGAAATGGCTTATACAACTTTATTGTTCCACTCAGAGCTTATTACAGACCAAAGAAAGAACTCAACCCTATAGTATTACTTCTGGATAACCCGTAAGTGTATTTTTAAGAAAAAAATTTACTATACAAATAAGTGTTTAAATCTGAATATGTGCATTGTCTGTGGTTGATGGTCACATATCATGTGACCAATTTAAATCAAAAACATTGTGGCACATACATCTTTAAAGCAAGAGTGGACACAAGGATGATATCACATGTGTGTTGTGCAGTAAGGACCTAATATAACTCTCAGTGAAGTCAATGGGAGTCCTTCCACTGACTACAGCGGGAGTTGGATCAGGACCTAGCACAATACAGTTCTCAGTATGGTAACACCAGGTTTATAAGGAAAAGCTGAGAAATCGGAGTACTATTAATTATAAAATAGGTTGTAAAATCATTTAAAATTCTAAAATTTTAGGAGATAAATTGCAATTTAAATATTGCATCTAACATGTGAAAGTAATCTTAACTTCTCTGCATTTCAGATGTAGATTGAATTTCTCAGTTTCCTGTCTGCATCCATCTTTTCCCAGCCTACAGAGCACCTAGGGGAGCACTATTTTATTCACACTGCTGACCTGCACATTAGGAGCCAGTTTGTCCTTTCAAGACACTGACTCAGATCTAAGCCCGCTCAGGCCTCTGAACAAGTTTGCGTATGGTTTGCACAGTAAATAGTAATTATAGTACTATTTGACTGGTCTATCAATTAAATGCAGAAGACAGAGCCTATACTATCTAAGCATATTTTTTATTACTGCTTAGTTCAGAGATGATCAATACTATAGACTGTAAATGCCGTTTGGGAAATATCTCTGTCCACTGATTGCCATATAAACCACAGAACAACAAACATTCATTAATGCACTTATGGCTCAGTTGTGCCATTAAGTCGCAGTCCTGATTTAAGGGTGACGTAGATCCTCATCACCTCAGGAACAGCTGTAGGAGGAATTGTACCATAGGGAACAACTGTGCCATAGCCTCCCCAATGCCCTTTGGAGACACTAGAAGGAAACAGTTCCTTCTTGTGTTCCCCCCATGAAGAGATTACATTTGTTCTTGGCTCTTATACAAGAAGGACAAAATGTTCCTTGCACTGTCCTCCACCTCAGTCTATGCACTCCCATGCCAGGGCAAGGCAAAATCTGTCCCTTTCTAGCTGGGGTTGGCAACGTTTGGCACGCGGCTCACCAGGGTAAGCACCCTGGCGGGCCGGGCCAATTTATTTACCTGCTGACGTGGGAGGTTCAGCCCATCGCAGCCCCCACTGGCCGCGGTTCGCCGTCCAGGGCCAATGGGGGCGGCGGGAAGCCGCGGCCAGCACATCCCTCGCCCGCGCCGCTTCCCGCCGCCCCCATTGGCCCGGGACGGCGAACCACGGCCAGTGGGGGCCGCGATCGGCCGAACCTGCCGTGTCACCAGGTAAATAAACTGGCCCGGCCCGCCAGGGTGCTTACCCTGGCGAGCCGCGTGCCAAACGTTGCCGACCACTGCTTTATAGTGATGGCTGAAAATGGAGTGTGTCATGCAGGTACACTGACTTGTCACATTAAAAAGGGTTTATCTGCATTGTTTATGTGCTTCAGTTTCTGGGGGAGGGAGGGAGGCAGAGGTCAGATAATGAAGGGCATATTTTTTTAGTTTCATAACATAATTTAACCCTCTGTGCACTCTGCTTTTCTTTCTAAAATAATACCTGGCTACTTTTAACATTGTAATTGTTGCTTGGTATACTAGGGTAGAAATAAAGGTCAAAATCTAGTAACTTTTTTCCAGTCTTAAGCAATCTGCTCTCTCACAGTGTAATGACTGTCAATGCTCTGACTGATATTTCACAATCTCTTTACCTTATCACAAAGTAGTGCACTCACTGCTTTTGTGCCACAGCTGTTGACATTCCTTTCTGCTGTCTCTCACAGTAATGATTCATCTTCTACTTCTGCAATGACTGATAGAAATCATCTGATGTCTGGAAGGATTTTCCAGTCTGAAAAGGTCAGATCAAGATAGTGTGGTCCAAAAGGGCCGATGGAACATGTAACATGTGGTATTTAGGTTTCAGGAAAATGGGAAACAAGGGATCATAAAAAAGATTGTATGCACTAAGAACCAAACTTCTCTTCTATGGCTTCATTCCAGAGTCATAAAGTGTATTGTACAAAATATAAAGTGGTATACAGGTGGTAAAACTCCAAAACATCCAGAAACTCAATTCCAATAAGCACTTGAAATACCAAATATTTATTTTTGATCTTTTGGAAGTTTCCCCATCCTATGATCCCCCATCATTCTGTCTCTGCCCCAAGCTTCTGTTGGGGAGAAGGTGTCTTCTCTTCTGTCGGGAACACTTTCCAAGAGAGGCTTGGTAGCCACCATTGCCACTCACGGAAATCTATTAGGATGGGCTCTGGCTCCCTCCCAAGGCAAGATGTTTAACTAGAGAATCTCCATGTCTATCATCCAGCTACATGTGTCTAGGAGGTGTAGCTGGGAGTTCTCTTCCTTCCTTACAAGAAAGAGTCTTCCTAAGTTGGCTAAAAAAAGCTCTTCTCTCCCATAAGAAGCATTTTCTCTTCCCCCAGAAGTAGCAGGCCATGGTTCTGGGCTTTTTCAGCCCATATGGCTCATGCTGGGGGTTCCATGATAGTATCTAGACAGAGCTCACAGCATACTGAAAACCTTCACGGGGCCTCCCATATGTACATGCATTTTGGGGCACTAATGCAAGGGAAGCCTCAGGAAGGAACAGCAGGAACAGTAGAGTGAGATAAAGTTTAACTAAACTCATTTCAAACCCCGTGAACAGTTTGGGTCCAGTCCAGGTTGGTTAATATTTGGGCTGAGCCAGTTTTCCCACATCTAGTATAAAATTGGAAATCAGCTAGCAGTTGTGAGGGGAGACTGGACTGCTATATCTGTTCATAATTCTCAACATACATACTTTTTAAAATTCAGCACAATCTTAGGATTTTAAGCCTTCAACTGCATTTTATTTTATCTAGCTCACTTAGTTTTCTTTAAAATCCCTGACCTTTAATGGGTGGGGGTTTCTATTTGCCTTTTCTTTAATGAGTACTTTCCATTCAAGCACAGCTTATTTGGGGCAGGGGGAGTTGAAAAATTAATAGTTGTGTACTTTAGAGAGCTATATAATTTCCATTTTCAATCAGGAGCTTCATGGATGCTTCATCCCTCCCAACTTGCTCCCTTTGCAGTGTTTTCTGAGCATATACGATCTGTTCCAAGTATTCCATTCAGCTACAGAAACAGGGCAAATTTCCCACTTGATTCCCATTAGTACTATAGAAGAGAATAATTCCCTAACATGGTGAGCATGATGCAGCCTCGTTGGACCATGTTACAGTGTTTCAATAAGTCCAAGGTAAACAAAACTTGGAACCAAAAAACTTGGAACCTTTAGGCTGCACCATGATAAAAAGAGGCCAGCTGCATAAATTGAATCCTGGATCAGATTCCAGGCCCTCCTCTCCTCTGGGTGTATGTGCCATTGTCCCATCTCTAGTATAAATAGTTTCACTTTACAGAATCTGAAATCAGTCAGAGTGGGTTCCACTTCCCCCAATACAGATTTCTTCTAGGACAGTACATAATGGTGTTAGTATATCATAGTTCTATTTATTCCAGTAATGAACAGCATAAACACACACACACCAGAAGAGATCTATGAAAATTATCCTTTTAAAATTATGGTTAGCAAATTTCAAATAAGACTGGTCTTTAAGAACACACATGAAAGTGTACAGTGCCCTCTAGTGTTTTTCTGAACTCTGGTTTCAGGCCCATGCTTTCATTTTTTTACACTCTCTGATATGTTACTTTTATTATTTTTAGTTTATATTTGCTGAAGATTGAAAAATGCCATTTTTGTTTACATAAAATTATGCCATCTCACCATTAAATGAAAGCTATGGTCTCTGCTTAAGCTCTTACCAAGATGTGACCTAGCCAGCTGGAGCAGGTTCTGTGCAAAGCACTCAGCTGAATTACTGTAAACGTAAGGACACTGCAATCAGTCTCCCACACTTTTCACAGCTTACAGCAATAGGGTGAAATCCTGGCCCCACTGAAGTCAATGGGAGTTTTGCCATTGACTTCAAATGAGTTAGGATTTCACCCACTGTAAATTAGCATGTATCCCTTGCTATAGTTTACTAGTTTCTCTTAAATCTTTTTTGCAGTTTGTTAACAGAGGCAATTTGCAGTAGTGTGAATGTTTAGATATGTCCTCATTTCATGCTGATTAAAATCTCGTCTGCTATCACTGTACTTTCAGTATCTAAGACAGAAGAAAAAGGTATAAGACTTATAGTACAATACAGAAAGAGTACAGTAGAAACCTATTTTACCTTTCCTTTCTTATAAGGAAATTTGAGATTAAAATTAGCTTTTGACCTTCATTTTCACCCTAGTATGTCAAGCAACAATTACAGTATTAAAAGTAGCTAACTATTATTTTAGAAGGGGTGGAAGGGAAAGAAAAATGCAGACAGTTGGGAGAAATGCATAACTTTTAGGGAGAAATGATAAGGCAAGGTCCATAGCTGGGGTAAAATTGATTTTAATCGAACTATAATGGTTGAAACCAGGTGAGGATCTGGTCCCAATCAGCATTTTCATAAATAATATGTTTACGGTCATGAATTGGAATATAATTTAGTAAGGCCTCTTTAGTCTTCAATAATTTTTCTTTAAATAAAGCATTTGCTGTATGATTGTGCCATAAAGTTTCTGATTTAGAAGACTAACAACTTTTATGTAAATCACATTTAAACTTGATCATTCTTCATCATGATCAAAGCAAACAGCATTGAATGTTGATGCCCAGAAATATAGTTTCCTATGTTATTAAAATGTTTATTTAACATTTCCTAGTTTTCCCCTCCTCTCTCTTCCAAACAAACTAACATAGTTTATTCAGTTTCTTCAGAAGAGATGCAACTGTTGTGATGTTGTGTTTCATTGTAACCCATCTGCTGCTTAGGCCAGATATGCATTTTCTGGATGCAATCTGTTGGTTTCCAATGGTTTACTACATGGTGGGCTCTATTGACAAGTAGGTAAAATAATCCTCAGAACTCTAAACATTGTAGTGTTCAGTGGTTTGTCATGTGCTGTGCTTTGTAACTGCATGTTTGAATGTCGTGATAGTACTTGAAAAATACCCCTGCATGCATGGTTTGTGTCAAGGTGCTGTAATTTGGAATTTCAAATTTCTGCCAAAGGATTTCAATCACTCAGAAATGAGTCACTATCTGGTTTTGGTTTATATAGTACACTGGCAGATCAGGCCGTCTTTTTAAATGCTTTCTTTGGTATTGAATTTCTAGGTGAATACTGGCTGGGATTGTTAAAGGATGTTACGAGATTCAGTAACTTACGTCTAAAACCATTAGACTGCTTTGAAAATATCACCTACTACTTCTACCTAGCCCTTTACTATTAAGTATTTATAAAAGCTTATCTAGATTTCATGGCATCACTGATGGACGAGTCAGGCTAGAACTCAGACTAGAAGAGACTCTGTCATTAGATTTTCAGTATATTCCTGTTTCTAAACAGTCATCACTAACGCAAAAAATTAGCTCTAGTAGAGGGCCCAATCCTGAGGCATTTGGGCATCTACAATACTTATTCTGTCAAATACTGGTCCTATGGAAGTCAGTTGGGGGGGGGAAGAAAGGGGGATTTACCATAGACTACATTGATAGGTAAAATTGTGACAATTTCAACAGCAGTTCTAGCTGCTCAGCATGTCTCAGGATCAAGCCTATTGTAAATGGAGACATATATACTTACAAATTTATCTTAGTGACAGACAACACAAACTGGTATTCATAATACACTGATAGAAGTTATCTTAGAACTTTTAGGATACATCTACACAGCCTACAGCAGAGAGTCTCCCAACTCACATCAGAAGAAAAGCCCAAGTTCTAGCCTGAGCTGCAGCTTCACAGCTCTGTCTACAAAGCTATTTTTAGAGCACCAGTGTGAGCCCCACTAACCCAAACCTGTCCACCTAGCCTGGGAGGCTTACTACTGGTGGCTGTGTAGACATAGCCTTAAAATTGGCCATTTCCTTGATGTGTTTAATGACCATAGTGGTCCTGACTAGTTGTACAACAATATATCACCATATATTTTGTCTGGCTATACCAAAAGAAGGACAGGAGACACTTGATATGAATTTAATCGGGCCACGACTATTAGAGATCTGGGACAACCCGGCAGATGAAGTATACAGTACAGGCTACTCCATGTTTTTTTTAAAATAACTACTCGGGGCTTCCACCAGCCCCCCTTCATTTTCGATCCAGGTCCCCCAGCCAACCCATGGCTTGGATCTTACCGTCCACCTTCTCTCATAGGAGTGTTAAGGTAGGCTGTAAGAAAGGGGGGTTGGCTTCCTTTTGTACCAATAGGAGCCCCAACTGCCCCCTTTTTGTTCCTTTAACCAGCACCTCCTTTTAAGTCCTTTACCAGGCCATTTATATGGTCACTGGATGCCTTCCCTATGGAGTACCTACACTGAACATCCACCCCACACTTACAAAATAAGTTGTGACATATAGCCCACCACCTTTTGTGCTCACCATAATAGGTCTTCCCTAACACCGGCTGTGGAGAAGGCAAAAAAAAAAGAAAAACCCTCACTCCACCGAAACCAATATGGTGGTAAGAGAAAAATTCCTTCCCAGCCCTCCTAAATAAGGAGCAATGCAATGCCCACAGCAGGTCCTAACAAAACCTGAAATTCACACCTGTAGGACAGGGAGGGTGGGTACTGCCTTGCCTGCTGCATGGAGAAAAGGCTTCCAACACCAGGGCTTGCACCTTTAAAGCCTTCCGCCCCTTACATTCCCCAGGGGAGGGGAATGGATCACAAAGCTTTTTCCATCTCTTTGCAGCACTTTCTGACCTTCCCCCCCCACATAAAGCACTGCTACCTTCCAGCAGCAAGCCTGGCCAATGTTTCCCTTACTTAAAGGTGTGGTACAGTCATGGTTGGTGTTGTGCATGGACCTTGGGCTTCTTTTTTTACATACTGTACAAGATCATATTAACTTTACATAAATCAAATCCAACTAAATGTTAAGCAAAAAGCCAATACTCCAAGAACAGTTCACAAAATGTGGATACCCCAATACCTTATCCCAACTCTTCTTTATTCCTTGATATGTATACATTTTATAAAATGTTAATACGTGGAACACTACAGCATTCCACATTAAATCATAATTTAAATGGGACATTTAAGTGGCCTATTAAAGAGTACATGGTTTATAAATTAGAGAGGTCTCACCTGCATAAATATATATAAAACTTTTTTGTTATATGCAGTTTTTTATTGGTAGTCACAAGGGCTATATTTTCAAAGGTCAACACAATGGTAGAATGCAGAATTAAATGTAGGTTGCTAGGAGAAAGATTAGAATTTGATATATGAGCAGGTTAAATGCATACCAATAAATACTAAATATAGAATGGAATTAATTTTCATCACCAACTATACCTCACTCCAAAACCAATTAATATAGAACATGGAGCTATGTACTAAATGTGAAAATCAAGACTGGAAATTTCATAGGACTGGGTAGGAAATGGTTTTCCCGTCCAACGAGAACTTTGAAATTCCAAAAAATTTTCCAGTCCCAGTTAGGATGAAAAGTCATGGCCTCAATTTTTTTGTGAACTGAAAATCTGAAAAAAATAATTCCGTCACATCAATCAAAACATTTTGTTTCAATTTCAAGTTGTTTCAATTTTTACATTAATTTATAGTATTAAAAAGATTTTATTTGGCAATGTAAGTTGTTTCAAACAAAAATAATTGATGTTCCCTTTCAAAACGAGTTAAACATGGTGTTCCAACAATTTTTTTGAAAATGTTTCAAAATCGAAGTGGGAAACTTGTCAAAACTGACCTTTTATACAAATGATTTTGGTTTCATCAAATTAGAATTTTCTGATAAAAACTGATTGGAAAAAAAAATCACTCCCAGCTCTAAATTTTTATGCATTTACGGCTTAATACAACTGCTGTTAAAGACAATAGAAAAACTATTTGCTTCACTGGAAACTGGATTGGATTCATGGTGTGTAAGAGCAGAAACACAGTATAGTTTTAGACAGAAGATCAGATCTATGGAATGGTTGCTAGATATGTTTACATTTTAACTAGTTTTGCAGAAAATGTATTGAGCAGTCATGAAACACATATGGAAGTTGTATTGTCATATGGGTAGTAAGAACATGAATAAGACGATGTTGGAAAAAAGGAATCATCTCTTCCAGTGTCTTATTACTTAATATCATCACTGGTCAACATTTTCCATCAAAACTGTTTAGTTTTTCCACAAAGTGTCTGCTTTCTCTTAAAAAATTCAGTTTAATCAAAACCCCAAATTGGAATATTTTCTTCTGTGGGCTGGGCTTCATGGCTAGCCTGCATCTCCCATGATGCTCCATAGCCAGAGACTTCCCCTGATTTGCCATCTTTTCTCTCTCTCCAAGAAGAAAGATAATAATGTATCATGGGAGAATTAGTCTGACCAGGGAGCCTACCCCATAGAAGAGAATAGGGCAGGAAACCAAGCTACAATTCCCAGGATGTCCCCTGGCAGCATTTCCAAACTGAAATATTTTGGTTTTCAGCCAAAATATTTCAGTATTTGAATTTTGACCATAAAAGTTAAGTTTTCTGTGGTGTGGGATTCACTTTTGTCCAGCTTGGCCTAGTCTGTCCCTCCACAAATGCAAGTCGACGCCACACCATTCTATTATGTTGTGATCACATTCTTTCCACTTCTGACCAAAGAGTTTTGTCATGGGATCGGCCCAGTGCGTTTTTGGTCTGCCCAGAGGTCGCTTGTGGTCTCTGGGGATCCAGTCACTGATGTGGGTTGTCCACCTATCGTCTTGCCTATGGGATTCGGAGGAACAAACAAAACACACCACAGAACGTTTTTTGACCAATTCTGCTTAATTCAGAAATTATCCAGGGACATTTAAGATGATATGGCTGATTTTCATTTAACACTATTTTAGTTATTTTTGAAATGTAGTTCTTTGTTATTTAATCCACTCAAGGCTGAATACTGGTTAAGTTCAGGGCTTCCAGAATTGACCTATTTGGCCTATTTGCCTCAAACTAAGCATACTTGTCAAGCTGAAATATACTGGCGTCCCAAGCCACATCCTCCCCAGTTGTAGGAAATCTTTTGAACAGATTCAGACTGCTGCCCTCACTGCAACATATAAAAGAAAGATAGACTCACAATCCTCTAGGTTGTCTCCTCAACTCAATCTTTGAGCTATACCCTACAGCTAATGAGCTCCGAAAAAGAGCAAAAGCATTTAAAATAGGCCCTGTAGTATTAACCTAAATTAATACCCTTCATGGCTTGGGCCTGAAGGCCTCAGTCTACCACTTGTGGGGGTCCCCTCTTAGGTGGGTTATCCCCTACAGGCCAGGCCAACCATCCCCCCTCACTATTCTCTGTTGCTCTATTAAATGAATACTGGATAGCACCCCCCAAAGCAGTTTGTGCACCGCACCATCAATAAATTAATGTTTGGCAGCCTCCCCACCAGTAAGTCATCTTTCCTGGGCCCTAAATCTTTGCAGGGCTTTGTCATTGCTGCTGCTCCTGCTTCTCCACTAGTGTACGGAAGGCTCACAATTTCTCAGCTTCTTATTCTAAAACCTTGGCCTTCTGTGCTTCTCACTTCCTCTCTCCCCTACTCTTAAAGGAGCAGCGGCTCAAGAGACTTGTCTCCTTCCTTCCTCCCATCCTTTTTTTAAAGTACAGCATCTCAGGGCCATTCTAGCCCCTTTGACAAGAAGTGCAATGTCTCAGGCCAGTCTGCTCCCATGCACCTGATTTCCCCTTTTCTAAATCAATTAGATCTTGTCTCCACCTTTTTTTTCACCAGTAAGGCTCAAATTTGAACCTATATGATTATATCAGTATAACTTGCCACATAGACACTCTTATTCCCATATGAGAGTAGCCTCATGGGGGGAGGGGGTTTATACTAGTATAAATTATCACTATAACTGGTAAAACTTTCCCATGTAGACAGGCTTTTAGTAGTGCACAGGTTGCTTGTTTCCTTCGCTTACAGCCCGTTAAAGGCCCAGTGGTGCTTGGGCCAGTGTTTCTGTCATCTCCCCTCACCTTTAGTGAAAGTAACAGTGTTGGCTCAGCCTTCTTGCCAAGGAAAAAATTCTATTTAAAAGAAAAAAGAATGAGAGACACAAAGCACCTAGGTGTAAGAGGAGGTGCACCTGAATGGCTGAGAAGAACCTCCTTTATGTTATGAGGAGAGCCAGGGTAGCAGGGCAGCAACTTTACCACCAACCTGGAGAAGAGGTTCTGGGCTTAGTTTAAATGGATTTATTGGGGAGGGGAGCATAAACTGAGGTGGCTGTTTAGTATTTATTAAATGGGGCAGAAGAGAGTATAAATTAATTGGATTTTCAAGACCTGTTTTTATTATAGATGTGTGTTTTATATAGCACATTTTAGATAAGGGAAAAAAATCAGGAGCTAAATATTGTTCCGCCTTCATTCGAGACTAACTATACACAACAAACTCACATAAATACATGTTATGTTTTCTTGTAAACACTTGTGGAGCTAAAAAATATTTAGATGTACATTCAAAATATTGAAACCATGTTTTCCAGTGAATGTGTATCAGTATGAATTTTGATTTGTCTTTTTCCAAGAGACATTGGCCTTATCCCTTGGGCTGGAAAAGGGAATCCTTTGGCAGTTCCCACTACATAAATTTGTGTGGGAAGCTCTGAAAGTAACTTGATTCCTGCTCTTGCCTGTGTAATGCTGCTGCTGCTGCTTCTGGAAATCTACCCTTGTGCAAAAGTGATCCTTCAGTAGGAGGGAGAATAGGGAGCCAGTGAAGGACTATGAGATGAGAAGCTAGAAAATCAGCATATCCGACTGCCTCTGTGCGAAGGCCCTTGATATATGAAAAGGTACTTTTGTGTAGGAGGCAAGACACTTATATGAAACAGGTAATGACAATGTAATGAGTTGTGGAAGACCTTGTAGGAGAAGGGGAATTAATACATATACACATGCGCAGCGTAGTGTAATTTTACCAACATTCTTTTAATGAATGGAGAAGGACAAGCAATCCTCGGCAATCTACCAGCAGGATTCTATTTTACTTCAAAGAACATTATAATTATTATTCACATTGTCTCTGTTCTACCAAAACACTTACATGAAGCTGATAGTTACAGTGCCTTCAGAGACCACCACCAAGTGGTAGGAATCAAATGTAAGATTGATGAGCTCCCAGGATATGTTGCAGTTGAGTTTTTCTAACTCATACTTATCCTGCCATGTATTTATATTGGTTTTTAATTCTGTTCCTCTTTACAACAGCCTAGATGATTTGCTAAGATGTGGGGTGACCTTCGCTGCCAACATGGTGGTTGTGGACAAGGAAAGTACTATGAGTGCTGAGGAAGACTATATGGCAGATGCCAAGACTATTGTAAATGTACAAACTCTCTTTAGGTAAGCGATTTTGTAACTAACCCATACAGCTATGTTAAGCGTGAAATATTTTAGAATTATTTTTGTGGAGAGGGAGATGGAAGTGTGGCTTCTCAACGATTTCTCTTAACTTCATTTTTTTCTTAAACACCACTTTATATGATCAAGCAAAAGTTATTGCTGCTTCACGGTAATATACTCAGGTCTCTTGGGACATGGAAGGGTAAGACTCCAGCTCTCAGATATGACTCCTCACATTCCAAGATGGCAACTTGCTACTTCTCCAGAGGCTTTGGAAGGTAGCTGACTAGTCTGTGGGAAGGGAAAGAAGGCCAGTCAGCCACCCCTGGAAGACTTGAGATAGAGGAAGGTCACTGGACCTTTGCCTTAACAAACATCTTGTGATTAAGGCCATAATCCTAAACTCATTATAGACAGTGGGCGCTGGGAGAGAAGGAGGAATACAAATTAGGTGAGTGAAGGATTGATGTACAGTAACTTGGACAGTTGTTCAGATTTTGAATCAAACTAGAATTTTGCCTCTTTTGAGAGGTAGCCACTCCTAGTTAAGGTCTGTGTTACATATCACAAAGTTCCAGGGGACAGGGAGGGAAAATCTGAATCCAAATATTGAAGAAAAATAACAGGTTCTCTTTCACAATTGGAATTACATAAACCAGGGGTCGGCAACGTTTGGCACGCGGCTCGCCAGGGTAAGCACCCTGGCGGGCCGGGCCAGTTTATTTACCTGCTGACGCGGCAGGGAAGCCGCAGCCAGCACATTGCTCGCCCGCGCCGCTTCTCGCCACCCCCATTGGCCCGGGACGGCGAACCACGGCCAGGGGGGCCGCGATCGGCCGAACCTGCCGTGTCAGCAGGTAAATAAACTGGCCCGGCCCACCAGGGTGCTTACCCTGGCGAGCCGCGTGCCAAATGTTGCCAACCCCTGACATAAACCATTCACTCATTGCTTGCAAACGATCCAGCAATAACTATGGGAAGGTACTAGAAGATAAAGTGCATATGTGGTCATAAGAGTTATTTTTGTCTTTCTCTAGGTCTAATAATAATCAGAAGGGACTAACGTGTTCAAAGTAGTACTTTAAATTGGTTCTCTTAACAAGTTTTAATTAACAATATACCATAGCTAAGTCCTATCTTGATAATTTTCATGTACTTTTCCATCTGTTCTGCTCCTGGTAGAAGGTCTATGATCATGGCAAATTAACAGAAGTAGTCAGACATAGTTTCCACTACAGCAGGCTCTCTTCCTTTTTGTCATAGTGTCATCTATACCATCAGGATAGGAGAACACTTGCCAATATTTCCATTACTGATGATTAGGTCCCACTAATTCTTTTCCCTTGTAGAAGAACAAATGCCTCCTAGCTCATTTGGTAGATCAGTACAGTTCCCAGTAAAGCACTAAACCCTCTCTCTGAGCACGGATTTTTAGCAGCAGGCCAGACTGTTCAAAGGATGCAAAAAAAATCAGGACAAAACCTTGCTTGCTTTAGCCAGAAAAGACACTCACACAGCTCACAAAGAGGAGAAAAAAAATCTCTCTTTAAAAAGTATTGCTCAAAGTCAGAAAAAGTGGAAGGAGGCTGAGAAGATGGTGCTCTGATGAAGAGCAAAATGGGTTTCAACTAAGGTTTGTTTTTATACCCACTTTTGCCTAAGAGCCTGGCTGGAATTCAATGGCATCTCTTTAAGATCCTGATTCAGCAAGGCAACTAAGTAGGCACTTAGTGTTAAGGATATGAATAGCCTATTGGCTACAGTAGTGCTACTCACATGCTCAAAGATAGGTATGTACTTAAGTGCCTTGTCAAATCATGGCCAAGAGCCCTAAAATGAGGAAATGATTAATTCAAAATGCATTTTTGCCAGTGTAGCACAGTTTAACTATTAGGCCTTCAATCCTTCACCTTAATGAGAATTCAGTATCCCTTCAAATGAATTCCAAGGGAGTTTTGACACAGTAGAGATTGTAGGATTGGGCCCTTCATTTCGACAAGTCCATAGCGTGCTGAAATTTCATCTGCAAATATTGTAGAAACTGCACTCAATCTCATGATGAAACAAAACATTTCAAGTGAGAAATTGTATGAAACTGGCAGTGAAATAAGGAAATGGGGGGGGGGGGGATTTCATTCTCCAATAGTCTTAGTTTTGTGACAGATTTTTTCTTTTGACATTTCAGCCAAAATAGTTGAGGCCATTTCTATGAATGAGGCTAGGGAAAAATAAGTTTGTTTGTTTGTTTTTAATGAGCAAAACAAAGAGAGACCTTTTTTGAACAAGTCTAGCACTCCATTCTTTGGAACAGGGACTTCAAATGTGGGTGGGAGTAGCCTTTGTGGGAGAGGATGGCCTTTTGCCGCCACATGAAAACCCTTAAAAATCCAAGGTATAAGCCCTTGAAAAAATAAAGGTTGCACATGCTCAAAGACTTCTTACATTTTAGTAGCTATATTCACAGAGATTCAGTTTGCATAGAGCCTATTCCAGCCCAGGGATGAGCAGAACTTCCCCTGCAATTGCAGCTCTGAGCTGTTTTGGGCCATGCCAAGTCTGGACCTAGGCATCTGTGAAATGCCTTGTTGAAGTAACTCCCACCTGCACTGATCACAAACATCCTTCCAACATGCAAGTCACACTCTCTGTGTATGTGTGTAACTGTAGCCCGCCAGCCACACCTGGGTTACACTATGGCTATCACCAGCCGTGGCTATACGTCAGGGTGACTCCAGCACACCCTGACTCTTAGATTTCCCCCCAGAAATATTTGTCCTATAGTTCTGAGCCTTCTGAATAATACAAGTTATGTCAGGTCCGTTATTTCTTTAGATAAATAATATCCACGGAACTTGCCACCCCCCCAATGGAGTTTCCAGATACTTTAGTTTAGACACACTAGGTTGGACAAAACAATAAAACAAGTTTAGAAACGATAAAGGATAGATTTTAAGTGAGTACAAGTACAGAGGCATAAGAGTCAGAAGTGGTTGCAAGACAATTAAAATTAAAATACAAGTGGTGCCTAACTTAAACCACATTAAATTCAAAGCAAAAGTTCTCAGCACATGCTTTAAGCAGTCTTACTGACCCAACTGCTTAGGCCAGGATCTCTTCTCCTAGAATCCAACTAATTCTTGCTGCAGAGGCGTAGCGAGCGCCCTCCGTACCCTCCGACCGGAGGGGGCCCCACAAGGAAGGGGGCCCCTAAAAGTGGCAAAATAAATAGCGCATTCCAGTTTCTGCATTGTAAGGGGCCCCGCCCGGACATATGTTCGGAGGGGGCCACCATTTGGAGGGGGCCACGTTCTTTGTTGCTACGGCCCTGTCTTGCTGTGTCACTCCAGGACAGGAGGAGGAGATTGGGACAAGGAACTATGGTAGGGTGAGCCTAGGTCTGGAAGCTGGCAGAGGGGAAAGAGATGGAACCTGGGACTAGGAGCCGGGGGTGGCAGGGGAGAAACAGGCCAGAAGAGTCTGTGGCTAGTAAAGGACTCTCCCCTCCAAACCCTAGAATAGAACCCAAGATTCCAAAGTTTCACCATTCCCCTGGTTTCAGTGAATATCTGTGAAATCCACTGGCAAAGTGTCCCATCCCTATTTAGGGCTGGTCCACATAGAGGATGGCAATCTACTACTGCTAGAATTTAGTCTGTTAGCTCAAGTGCCAGAGATGAGGGTGGTGGATACACTGATGAACCACGTGGGTGTCAACACATGATCGAATTTCATTTTTTTTAAAGCAAACAAACAACAACCCTAGAAAATTACACAAAAATATTTTCAGAGAACATTAAGGTTTCAAAGTCAAGTACCCCAAAGTTAGGAAAAGCCATAATTAAGTTTGGCTCTGCAGATATGTACAATTGTTCTATGTCTGTTAACAACTTGCACCATGTTTTCACTAGATGGCAGCATAAGCTCATATCTGAAGCATAACTATTATTATAAAAATATATCATTACAGGGGTGAGAGGAGTGAGATTTTCTTTGTGTTTTTGACCAAGTTAGAAAAGAAAACTAGGTCTTAAAATGAAATATTTACCCATAACTAGATTTTCAGAAAGCTTTCATAATCTTTCACCAGTAGTATTTTATAAAACAAATGACAGAGGACTGGAAGAGACTAGTTTCCACCCTGTGCACCAACATTAAAGGAGAAAGGATGTAAAAAGATGTATCAAATATTAATGAGGTATTAATATGTAGAAATAATTTGTTACTAGTGAAAATGCACAGCATTTAGATCAGAGGTTTACATTCTTCATAGAATTTTGTAATGAGTTTCATAGGGCTATTACTTTCACAGTTTTATTAATGATTTTAGACCAAGCTAGAATGCATATGGTAAGGTCATTACATATGCAGATGATAGCAAATTTAGAGTCATAATTATGGGTGGAGGTGGTGGATGAAGATTGCCTAATCTAGATTATTCTATCAAATAGCTGAGAAGTTTAGTGTTTGAACATGCTATTCAATACATGTTAGCACAAAGTGATATTCTTTAGCAGAAATAATGCCCAAATAAATTATATTTCGAAAAATTTTCTGAGAGTTAATATGATGGGGAAAAGGGTTCCATGTATAAATAATCTGAGCAGGATGTGAGAGGGAGAGCAATTCAGGTTGGATTCTAGTAAAGATGATTCTACATTTGAGATTTGCTTTGTAATAAAAAAGCAGCAAATTGTTACCTGAGTTTTTCATGGCAACACTATAAAACAATTTTTAAGCATTGAAGTATTTTGTTAAAATATGTAGTTCATGACTACAATGGTCTTTGCATCTTTGATTCAATAGTATCTTTAAAAATTGAGTAAAGTGAATATACAGTAGAAACTAAGTCACATTGAATGGGATCATTCAAAAATTTAGAGACCATTTTCTAAATGGAATCATTTAGACCTTTGACCTCAGTAAGGTAAAATAATACTGTTGAGCCTAGGTTGTTGATTCTTATGAAAGCTTTCTGACATTGCTCAGTGTTTTACATTGAT